GGTCTGGTGAGATGGGGGGGGGATTGCCGGGGGGAGAATGCATGGATGCATCATGTTTGGACACGTGTGCGCCCAGAAGAACCCGGTACCTGCGGGGTCTGGACTGTGATTGCCATGGCAACGGCACCTCCATCCTCATCCTCAGCTCTGGATGGTGGGGGGAGCAGGGAGGGGGGAGATGTTCGCACCCGGTGAGGGTGATGGGGGGAGCTGGAGCCATTGCTGCCACCACCACCCTGCCCCCCCAATGGTGATTTACACCGCAGAGGCGTCAGCTGGTGGGGAAAAACCCCAATTCCCATCATGGAGGCGGCTGATCCTGAGGGTGCTGAGCAACTCCAGGGATGCAGGATGAGGCCGGGGTGTGATGGGGAGGTCCCTAAGGATGGACATCAAAGCAAGATCAGCCCCCCCAGGGAGAGGGTTTGCTGGAGTAAGGGATGCAGTGGGGCGCATCCTGCCTGTGCTTGGGTACCAGTGCACCCTGCATTACCCACAGCTCCTGCTCCTCCATAACTGTGGAAAAAATCCCCTTGCCCACAGCTGGGCCTCATCCTGAATCACCCCACCCCTGCAAATCTGCAGCCAACGGTGCGGCACATGGTGCTGAGCCTGTTCAGCTCCCCAGTCTGGCTGTTTGCTTCGATCCTGAGCTGGGACGGCTCCAGAAAATGCTAGGAGCATCATATTGAGGTGGAGAATTACAGTCTGTGCAAGGGTTGGGGAAACTGAGGCAGGGTAGAGGAGGTCAGGTGCTCTTTACCGTTAAAGCTCATCCTCCAGTGGATGCCCTTAAGCTCATAATGACAACAAATTAGTCTGGCAGTGAGAATGTTAATAAACCTTCCGGCTGTAACAAAGTGAGGAGGTCTTAGCTGTGACACCGAGGACTCCAGCATCAGTGTGTTTCTGAGATGGAAGTCAGATTTCCTGGGGGGACTTGGACCTGTCACCGTAATATTTGGCTCTAGACAGCAGTTTCCCCCTTGGATGAAAAGCCCGGTATCAGCTTGGTGGCTGAGTGGGGAAACTGAGGCACAGCTCTGTTGTCAAGCACAGAGCAGGATCTCACCAGGATCCCTCCCCATTGCTCCCTGGGGACTGCTGGGGAAATGGTGGCCTCCATCTGTAGTGAAGATGGTTGGGCAAAAACTTCCTTTGGTGGCTGCAGAGCAGCTCCACAGCACACGTGTCCCCACTGGGTGCAGCAGTGGGGGGTCACAGCCGTGTGTGGCCAGGGGACATGGTCTCATCTCACCAGGAGATGGGGGACACAGGAGTTTGGTGGCTCTAACAGCCCCTGTGGAGGCAGTGGGTCAGGGGAACCTGGTCCTAACATGCTGTGGTGGCCAGGAGGGACATCTGTACCCAGGGCCGTTGGGGTGTCCAAGCACCCAGGATCTTTGGAGGATCCTTGTCCGCAGGGGATTTGGTGCACCCCAAATGCTCCTACAGCATTTGGGGTGTCCCTGCACCCCCAGCCTTTGGATTGTCACCATTAACAGGACCCTTTGAGTGTGCTCAGGTCCACTGGAAGCATCTCCACACCCAGGGCCTTTGGGGCATCTCTGCATCTGGTCCCAGCATGCTGTGGTGGCCAGGTGAGACATCTCTGCACCCAGGACTCTGTCCAGATGCGCCTTAGGGGTGTCTAAGCATCCAGGACCTTTGGAGTGTCCCTGCACCCACAGCTTGGGGTTTCTCTCCATTAACAGGACCATTGTAGTCTCCATATCCAGCACCTTGGAGTGTCTCCTTTCCTAGGACCACTGGAGGGTCTCTGCATCCAAAACATTTGGGGTGCATCCATGGTCTCTGGAGAGTTTACACAAGCAAAGCTTTTGGTATATCTGTGCACCATGTTTCTGGAGCATCTCCACATGCAAGACTTTTGGGGTATCTCTGAACCCAGGCCTCTTGGAGAATTCCTACACCCGAAACTTTTAGGGTGTGTCACACACAGGGTCTCTGGAATGTATCCAGACACAAAACTTTTGAGGTATCTCTGCCTCTAGGGTTTCTGGAGCATCTCTGCCCTCAAAACTTTTGAGGTGTCTTGCAGCTGGAGTCTCTAGAGCAAATGCACACAGAAAACTTTTGAGATATCTCTCCACCTCTGGAGCATCTCTGCACCCAAAATCTTTGGGTTATCACTGCAGCCAACATATTTGTAGTACCTCCACACCCAAAACTTTTGGGGTGTCTCTGCACTCAGAGCCTTCGGAGCATCTTTGCACCCAAAACTGGGGTATCTCACACCCTGGGCTCTGGAGCATCTCGCCCTCAGGGTGCTGTACATGAGGGGGGTTCTCTGAGCCCCACAACCAAGAAGACCCTGACCCATTTGCTTCCCAAGGCTGGCAGACCATCCCACACCACCACCTCCCCGTGCCCCCCTCCACCCCATTCATCCCCCTCCTGCAGGACAGCAGCTCAATGCCGGGGTGCCCGGGGTGCCGGGTGAGAGGCGAATTCCTAAGGGACCGCTTCGAGTGGAGCTGCTGAAGAGCTGGAGGGCGCCGGGACCGACCCATGTAGGGCTGTGAGAGCCAGGGCGGGCTCCTGACGCGGCCGTGGAGGAAACCAGGCGTCTCTGTGCGCTCGGTGTCATGTACTTCCTAATCCTCCCAGATTCCTCCATCAGGGTGGAGAGGGAGCAGAGGGAAGCTGGACGCCAGCCGGGCTCCTCCGGCGTTCTACCTCCCCACCAAGCCCCCACACCAGCGCTGACACCCGCAACATCACTCCCCTCCATTGTGTCACCCCAAAACTCGTCTTTCTTTCTACCCGGGCAGGACATGAGGAAACACGTCATCATGACGCTGCTGGACACGGAGCAGTCCTACGTGGAGTCCTTGCGCACCTTGATGCAGGTAATGCAGCGCGGACGGGGATGTGACACCCCAAACCATGTCACGGCGTGACCATCCCTTGCTTGTCACCATCCCTGAGACCCCAAGTAAGACTCCCAGCTGTGAGTGCTTTACCAGCACAGTTGCGGCATGGGGATGGGTTTGGCATGGGTGGCAGCGGTAAGCTGGGGACAGCGGGACTGGAGGTGGGAGCAGCATGACAGTAGTGTCAAGAACAGGGTGTGGGAGTCACCTCTGTCCCCCAAATCAAGTCTGTAATGTTCCTGATGAGTTGTCATCTGCTGGGTATTGTGTCCCCAAGCCCCTTCCCATGTTTGTTCCCCGAAAGCTCTTCCTCATGTTGCACCCCATCTCCTGGGCCGTTGCTGATAGTCATCCCACCATGTGGGACACTTTACACCCCTGGTTCCCATGCCTCCCCATTTTCTGTGCCATGTCATCACCTGCAGCCATGGGCCAAACATTTTTCTCTGTCCTTTTTTTTACTGAGCTGGTTTCAGACCCTTGGAGCAGCCAGGCTGGAAGGTCCACCCCACATTTCAGGTGTTAATGAAGGTGTTTCTGAAGGTTAATGATGGTCAACGCCCTGGAGACTAGGTCATGCTGACATAGGTGTGGGTTGTGCAACCACATCACTGCAGGTGGAAAGACAAAAAATTCAAAGCTCTGCTGTGCTCGATACAAAGTGGTGCCTGTAGGACATCTGCTGGGCATGTCTGTGGGGCACCTGTCATCCCAACAACCCCCTTTCCCAGTAAATGCCCTGGAAGGGTGTCCCTATGGTGGACCCAGATGTGGCTTGCCAGATGTTGCTGCAGGAGGGAAGGGCCCTTCGAGGCTGCTCCTAGTGCAGATGTTGGCTTGGAGGGTTGAGAGGACCCTGACTCTGGGGTTTATTTAGAGGGAATCTGCATGGGGTTTGAGGTGACGTGGTATCCCTGCTGGTCTTGACATGGACAGAGACTGTCCCATGGTCTGTGTCATCCCCTGAGCTGGGACAGGAGGCTGGTTGGAGAGGACAGCTGTGCTGGGACTCACCAGTTCCCCACCAGAGGTACTAGTTCGACGCCAGTGGGAGCCATGGGGCATTAATGCCTGAGCTCTTCCCTGTGGAACACGTTCTGGCACAGTGCAACGAGGGGGACTTGGCTTTTTTGGTGCAGGTCACAGAGTTCCAGATGTCCCTAGCTCTATGTCTCAGCTGGGACAAGGTGTTTGGATCCATTTCATGGTCTCATGGCACATAGCATTGAGACTACCAGGGACAGGGACCACCTTGAAGCATCATCTTCCAGCCAAGTCAGATGGTGCACGGGGAAGCCCTGCCCGCACTCCCTGTGTGCTGGGTAGAGGCTGTCTCTGTGCTCTTCTCCCCCACCTGGTCCTCACTCCCCCAGTTTCATATCAGGTGGGGCGCACAGCACAGCACAGCCCCACTTCTCCTGGAAGTATTTGCCACGGTAGGGCAAGTGAAGTGGGTTAGAAACCTCAGGAAAGATTTGGGTCTTCTAACTTGGGTGTCCATGAGATACCTACTGTCAGCTTGAGGAACCTCGTCCCTGAGGGATGACTCCTCCTTTACCAGCTTGAATGGAGATGTCTGAGGCCACTCAAGGTGGGCCCTGTCCTCATCTCTCAGTTCCATCATCCTCCCAGCATCCTGAAGGACACCAACACCCCATACTAGCTAGGCTGAGGAGGAGGCAAGGCCTGAGAAGACCTTCATCCTGCATCCCTTGCAAATCCTGCTCTCCCGTTCCTAGGGGTACTGCTCTGCCCCACGGAGGGAGGGAGAGGATTTCATAGCAGAGCCGCCCACCCAGCCTTGCAGAGTACCTGCTCTTGTCCCTTGACCCTGAGCATTGCTCATTGGCCATTGCCCAGGAGAGGTTGCTGAGTGAGATGATCCAGGGCTTGACCCAGGTGCATCCACCCTCCTGCTTCCAGCCCCTCCTGGTCCCAGAAACTCTAAATCCCGCTGGCTTTTGGCTCTCAGGGTCACACTGCCATGATTCTCCACTGGGTCAAGCTGTGTAGTAGATGAAGGTGACCAAAGCAGAGAAGCTTTGGAGTCTCTCAAGGCCCTGGCTGGGGAACAGAGGACACCATGTTTTGGGGGTTCCTCATGCAGACCTGTTCCACTCCTTACTCTGCCATGGGGTGCACTGAATGGAATGGGACCAAGGGAGGCTGGGGTGCAAAACCTGCTGGGACCTGGTGCTGTCTGGTCCTTCTGATGGGTGCCACAACCCAATGTTCACTGGGGGAACCCCCTGCTGCAGGATGCCACCCATCCCCGTATTCACAGAGGTTGAAAAATTCATACCGAGGGGGTAGGAAAAGAAATCTATAGAGACCTGCATGCCTTTGGTTCCCTGCAGGGTTACATGAAGCCTCTGAAGCAGCCAGAGAACTCACTGCTGTGTGACCCATCGCTGGTAGACGAGATCTTCGACCAGATCCCCGAGCTGCTGGAGCACCACGAGCAGTTCCTGGAGCAGATCCACGACTGCGTGCAGAACTGGCACGAGAAGCAGAAAGTGGGCGACCTCCTCGTGCAGTCGGTAGGCCTTCATGGGGTGGATTTTCCCCAGGGAACCCAGGCTTGCCCACTCTTGGGCACAGCCCCAGCAGGAGAAGTTTTGGAGGAGGAGGCAGAGGAGTGATTAAAGGACGGACCAAACACGCCTGGGATGGAGAGCAGGAGACGATCTCCAGGCCTGCTGTCTGCTTAGCGTAACAGCCGGGTGTTGCAGTGACTGGCTGGGCCTGCAGCTCGGCTTTTCTGCCTCGGGAGCAGAAATGTCAAGGCTGAAAAATTGAGGGGGGGCGAATCCTCCCTGCACCAGCCCTGAGCCAAACTTAACCCTTGGGACAGCTTCTTCCAGGCGTGCCCAGGAAGTCCATGATGGACCTGTCCCCTTTTTTTTCCCCTTCTTTTTCCCTCCCAGTTCTCCAAGGATGTGCTGGTGAACATCTACTCTGCCTACATTGATAACTTCCTCAATGCCAAGGATGCCGTCAGGATCGCCAAGGAAGCCCGGCCGGCATTCATGAAGTTCCTGGAGGTGTGTCCTGGTTCCTCTCCCCATAGATGTTGGCCAAGGTCCAGAGCTACCTGCAAGACTGCTGGTGGGACAGAATGGGGATTAATGGGAGTAAACTGGAAACCTATGGTCAGACAGGGATTTTTACCCCCCCACCTTCTTCTTGGGTTTATTGCAAAGAGGCCATTTTGGGATGAACCGGAGTCACACCAGATGGTGTCAAAAGGAGTCACGCAGACCCCAAACAGGTCCTTCCTTTGGTGAGGCACCAGGACCCTGCTGTGTCCCACCTAATGGGCTCATCCTTATCCCTCACTGGTGTTTTGCAGCAAAGCATGCGGGAGAACAAGGAGAAGCAGGCTCTGTCTGACCTGATGATCAAGCCGGTGCAGAGGATCCCACGATACGAACTGCTGGTGAAGGTGGGTGTGGGCATATGGGTGCAGGCAGAAGGGTGTCAGTGCCATGCCAGCAAGTGGGTGAGACCATGGCTTCTCCTCACCTCCACATAATGGGAGCTTTCAGGGGTCTCACGTCTCTCTTGGCCCCTTTTCCCATCTCTTGTCACAAAGTTGGTGTCCCCAGGCATGCACGTGGCTCTGTCCTCCTCGGGACTGTCACTCTGAGGACTGTCCTCTCCCAGCACATCCCCAGGAGTGTGCAGTCTGCTTCCAATCTACCTTTCTGCAGGGAGGTTGGACACTGCAGTGCCATTTTGGGACCGGTTGCACTGCCACTCCTCTATGCCTCAGTTTCCCTGTGCCAGGATCACTCTCCTTGGTGCTGAGGCTGGTGGGAATGCACTTTCATAGAATCACAGGATGATCTGGGCTGCAAGGGACCTTCAAAGCTCATCCAGTCCAGCCCCTGCCATGGGCAGGGATAGCTCCCACCAGCCCAGGCTGCTCAAAGTCCCGTCCAACCTGGCCTTGAACACTGCCAGTGATGAATTTTGGGCATCCATGCAAGGTGATGATGAGCTCTCAGGAGCTGATGTCATCTTTAGAGGTGGCGAAGACCAGGCTGGTGGTATCAAAAGCTCAAGCCTTCATTTCTTTGCAAAATCTTTCCTGCGTGTGGCTGATTTCCATCCCCAGCAGCCAGAGCAGTGCTGTAGGGGCTTTTGCTTGGGCGTGACATGGCATCAATGATGACCAGGCTTTGCCCATGGTGACGACCTGGCTGTGTCCCCGTGGTAGGACCTGCTGAAGCACACACCCGAGGACCACCCTGATCACCCCTTCCTCATCGATGCCCAGCGCAACATCAAGCAAGTGGCCGAGAGGATCAATAAGGGCATGAAGAGTGCAGAGGAAGTGGAGAGGAATGCTCGGATCGTGCAGGAGATCGAGTCCCACATTGAAGGGATGGAGGATGTATGTATGAGGGTCTTACATAGGGTCGATCTTTCTTTCTCTCCAAAACTCAAGCACTTTTGCTCTTTCTGGGTCACAGCAGGCTGGGTCACTTGTTTTCTCCTCTGGGTCCTGCTTTCCCCATCATCACCTGGTCTTGGTGGGCTCCTGGGAGTTTGGGAAGGTCTCGGGGTGCCACATCTGAGGTGGTGGGGCGTGGGGACTGCAGAGACAAAGCCTGTGAGGGTTTCCCCCGCAGGGCTTGCTGCTCATGAACCTCCTTGTCCCAACAGCTCCAGGCCCCGCTCCGCAGGTTCCTGCGCCAGGAGATGGTGGTGGAAGTGGTAAGAGTGGGGTAGTCCCTTGCCCTTTGTCCCCAGCAGAGCTATGGCACTGTGCACTGGGCAGGGCAGTGGGAGGCTGTGACTGGGAGTTGTGGGGTGGCTGTATGCCCATGAAAAGCCATGGATGGAATAATGAATGAATGAACAGATGATTGGAAGGACATACAGGTGGAAGATGGGTGGATAGATGGATGGATGGACAGATGAATGGAAGAAAGGATGGATGGAAGAATGAATGGATGGATGAATGGATCAATGGATGGATGGATAGCAGACTAGTGAGAACAATATAGAATTCCCAAAGTGTGTGGGGAAGAATAAGACTGGTTCAGGAGCAGACAGGAGGCAGAAGAACCCACAGTAGCCCTGGGCCAGGGGTGGACAGGGAGGCTGGAAGTGGATACCCTGGGGGTCCTGCTGAGTTCATGCATGGTGTTCCCGTGGCCCTATAAGTAAGACCCCATGGCTTTGCCAACATGGCCGTGGCACCCATGCCCCCTTCCACCCTTGCGAGGATCCATCCCACCCCACAGCCTCCCTGTGCCAAGGCCATGCATGGGGAAACAGAGGCAGGGACCGCTCCCAGCGCCAGCAGCATGCTGGGGTGGATGTTAACCCCTTGGTTTCTCCCACCACTCCACAGAAGGCTGTGGGTGGGAAGAAGGACCGCTCCTTCTTCCTCTTCACGGACCTGCTGGTGTGCACCACGTTGAAGCGCAAGTCAGGCTCCCTCCGCCGCAGCTCCATGAGCCTGTGAGTATCACCTGGAGAGCACCCACCACAATTAACCCATGGCATTAAGGCTGTCCCTGCCAGCTGGCCTGGCTTTAGGGTGCCTGGGACATGGGTGCAGCTCAGCTCAGCCATCCCTGCCCCCAACCTCGCAGGTACACGGCAGCCAGCGTGATCGACACCGCCAGCAAGTACAAACTGCTCTGGAAGCTGCCACTGGAGGATGTGGACATCGTCAAAGGTCTGTCACTGCCTGCTAGAGTGTCCCATCCCACCTCAAAACCCATCACTTGCCTCCAGCTGGTGGGGAGAAGGTTCCCCTCTGTGGCACTGTGAAGGAAGGGATTAACATCATGTGCATGTCCCCACACAGGTGCCTCGCAAGCCACCAACCGGGAGAGCATCCAGAAAAGCATCTGCCGCTTGGATGAAGACCTCAGCACATTAGGGCAAGTCAGCAAGCTGTCGGAGACCCTCAGTTTCCCTCACCAGGTATGGGGGTGGTGGCCCTGGTGCTGTCCTCTGGCTGAACATCTTCCCCAGGGGACCAATCAGGATGTCCTCAGCAGAAGGGAGAACCCATGGAAGGGCTGGTGACCATGAGTGTCCTCAAAGAGCCCAGATGCCACCAGCCTCAAAGCCACAAGGGAGTTGGGGCATCCTCTGAAGGATGCTTGGGGATGAACAGGGTCAGCATCATGTGGTGGCCTTGGTGCTGTCCTTTGTCTGGACACCTTCCCTGGGGGATGAAGCAGGATAACCTTGCAGGAGGGAGAACCCATGGAAGGGCTGGTGACCATGAGTGTCCTCAAAGGGCCCAGATGCTACCAGCCCCAAAGCTACAATGGGTTTGGGGCAGCCTCTGAAGGATGCTTGGGAATGGACAGGGGGATCATCACAAACATGGCTGGTGGTGGCCCATGCCTGAGAGCTGAAGTGTTGTCCCTGTCCTCAGAGCCTGGATGATGTGATCAAGGACCTGATGGCTGCCATCCACCGGGAGCTGGCGGAGAAGCAATCCCTGTCCTTCAGCATGGCCTTCCCTCCCAACAAAGTGGAGCTCAGCATCACCAAAGCCGATGGCACTGAGTCCTTCATCTTTGAGTTCCCCAACCCCGATGCCCGTCTCAGCTTTGAGCAAGCCTTTGAGGATGCCAAGAAGAAACTGGGTAACACCAGGGACCAGGGAGGGGGACACTGCTTTGGTAGACCCCTTTTCTCCATCACTTCTTCATCCTCCAATTTTATTTTCCCAGCTTCCAGCAAAAACTGCCTGGACCCAGAGTTCCTCAAGGCCATCCCCATCATGAAGACACGGAGCGGCATGCAGGTACTCTGTGTCTGGGTTCAAGCATCCCATGGGAGATGTGGTCCTCTCCATCCTGGTGGGCTTGACACTGGATGCTGAGAGCTCCTGCACCATTCCTGAATAACTCAACTCATCCCATCTTTTGCTCCCTTGCAGTTTTCTTGTGCTTCTCCAAGCCATGGCAGCCTGGAAAGCTCCCATGAGGTTTGGGTTTGCAACAGCGATGGTTATGTGGGGCAGGTTTGTTTGCTCAGCATCCGTAAGGAGCCCACGGTGGAGGCGTGCATCGCTGTCTGCTCCGCCAGGATCCTTTGCATCGCCTCCGTGCCTGGTCTCAAGCGGGCATATAGGTAGGACATTCCCACTGGCACCGCAGAGCCGGCAGGCACGGGGCGATGCTGGAGCTGCTTCTTTCCCTCCCTTCCCCTCGTCACGGCAGGGAGCGTGCCGAGCCAGTGGGCAGCCCCTCCTCAGAGGCGATGCCGGCGCAGCTGGAGGACGCGGGGCCGCAGCCGTGCCTGCACATCTCCATCTCGGGTTCATCGCTGGAGCTCTCAGAGCCAGTTGACGGTGGCAACAGGGAGCTGGTGCCCTTTGACAGCGATGACACGGATGATGAGTCCTCGCCCAGTCCATCAGGGACGCTGCAGAGCCAAGCCAGCCACTCCACCATCTCCTCCAGCTTTGGCAGTGAGTTCCTGCTTAGCAAAAAAGCATTTCTTGGCCCCAGATTAATTGACTGGTGTGGATTGGAAGGGACCTTTAAAGGTCATAGAGTCCAGCCCTTCCACTGGAAGATTGCTCAGAGCCCTGTCCAACCTGGCCTTGAATGTTTCCAGGGATGAGCCATCTACCACTTCTCTGAGAATCACAGACTTAAAGAATGGCTTGGGTTGGAAAGGACCTTAGAGCTCACCCAGTCCAACCCCTGCCATGAGCAGGGACACCTCCCACCAGCCCAGGCTGCTCAAAGCCCCATCCAACCTGGCCTTGAACACTGCCAGGGAGGGGGGAACCTCTGCCATTGTTTCACTACCCTCATAATTTAAAAAATTCTTCCTTATATCTAGTCTGAATATTTCCTCTTTTAGTTTCAAACCATTACCCTTTTTCCTATCACTACAGGCCCTACTAAAATGATGGGCAGCTCCATTGTTTAGCTGCTCTGCCTTGCATTCCTTTTGGAAACCTGTAAGTGGCGGCTTTAGAGCCAAGAAAATCCCAGAAAAAGAGATGTTGAGGGGCATCAGCGCAACACCGTTGTGCTGGGCTGAGACTGGTGACCTTGGGTAAAACCTGGTGGGTTTTGGGGCTCAGCATCCCTATGTCCTCTGCCAGGTTTGACACTGCAAGAGGACACATGGTCACTTCCCCATCACTTTGGTGGGTGTTGAGTGGTCCTGGTCTGTACCATTCCTTCCTCCTCTTCCTCCATAGATGAAGAGATCCCGAGCTGCAAGGAGGCAACGGCAGAGATGACAAGCTCCGAGGAAGAGCAAGAACCTGGCTTCATTCCTATCACTGGCACCTACAGCCAAAACCGACACGGTGAGAGCCCCACAGATGGGCGAGCCCTGCGCCGCTCCAGCCGTGGCTCCTTCACCCGGGGCAGCCTTGAGGACCTCCTCAGCCTTGACCCTGAAGCCCATCAGAGCTCCATGTGGTTGGGCACCGAGGATGGCTGGTATGTCCCCAGGATGGGAGAACGCACATGGGGGGTGGGCCCCGATCCCAGGTGAGCCTCAAGCTTTGCTCTTCTCATACAGCATCCATGTGTATCAGTCCTCGGACAACATCCGTAACAGGAAGAACAGCATGAAGATGCAACATGCCGCTGCCGTCATGTGCATCTTGTAAGTGGGGAAGAAGATATTTGGCTCTGGGATGTCCACAGTGAGGTGGTTTGGGGTGACTGAGTGGAGCTCTGTGATAGGTTGTCCAAGGGTTTTCCTCCCCACAGGTACCTGGATAATCAGGTTTTTGTGTCATTGGCCAACGGGGAGCTCGTCGTGTACCAGCGGGAGGCAGGTGAGGCCACACTGGGATCATCAAAGGGCACTGAGGGGGTTAAATACAGCCCCAAAGTGGTGGCTGTTGGGTGGGTGCTTGGGTAGCCCCCCAGGGAGAGATGCTTGGGGTGCCAGTGGCTTCCTGCCTCAATGGGAAGAGAAGGGACATCCCTCAGGTGATGCTGAAGACCCCAAAATCAGAGCCAGGTGGAGGCTGCTTCCCCTGGGGTCATCAGCTCTTGGACCTGGAGATGGGCATCTCCAGCCACTGCATCCGATTGGCTGGGTCAAGATGGGGTTTTCTGGGGATGCTTTAACTACCTTATCCACTCCCATTACCCTTGCAGGCCGCTTCTGGGACCCCCAGAATTCCAAGTCCCTGTCCCTGGGCTCACCAGGAAGCCCCATCACCAAGATGGTGGCAGTGGCGGGGAAGCTCTGGTGTGGCTGCCAAAACCGGATCATCGTCCTCAACACCACCACACTGGCACAAGAGGTACCACAGGCAATGGTGGGAGGTGGGGGGGACGGTGATGGTCAGCGGTGGCATCTTCAATGGCATCACTGTGACTCTGTCACCTGCAGCACACGCTCCAGGTGGGACAGGACAGCGGGCGCAGTGTCACCTGCATGGTGAGTGCAGGGACCGGTGCGTGGGTCGCGCTGCAGAGCAGCGCTCAGGTCCGGCTCTACCATGCCACCAGCTACGAGCAGTTGGCTGAAGCGGATATCACCCCCCCGGTACACAAGATGCTTGCTGGTAAGTGCCACTGGTGGTGGGTCTCTGGTGGGTTCCCATCACTGTCTCCAGTGAGGACATTGTTGGCCTTGAAAATGAGATGCCCTGCAGCATCCGGCGCTATTATCTCCTGCATCTGACCAGCTTTGGGGTAGGAGACCCAGCTTGTCATGCTCATGGGGTTTGTCCTTGGTGTTGCCCAGCTGCATAATCCCATGGGGAAATGGAGAATCTCCTGCATGGCTTCATAATCCCATGTGGGAATAGGGCATCCCTTGGGTGGTTTCATAATCCCACACAGGAGTTGAACAGTCCCTGGGCAGCTGCATAATCCCACAGGGAAATAGAGTAGCCCTTGAGTGGATACATGATCCCACTGTGTCATAGAGCAGCCCTGTGGTTGCTGCATAATCTCACGTGGAATTAGAGAACCCCTGAGCATCTGCATAATCCCGCAGGACATTAGGGAATCCCCTGGACGGCTTCGTAATTCCATGTGGGAATAGGGCAGCCCCTGGGTAACTGCCTTAATACTAAGGGGAAATCAGGCAGCTCAATCTGGCAGCACCCAAGGGTGCTTTATTGCAGCCAGGGGAGTTGGGGGGTTCCTTCCCCGCATCCCACATCCCTTAGAAACCCCTGGGAACAGAGCTGGGTGGTGTCAGCGGGGTTCCTGACAACACTGATGGGCTGGGCTACTCCGCAGGCTCCGATGCCATAATCCGGCAGCACAAGGCAGCCTGCCTGCGGATCACAGCTCTCCTGGCCTGCAAGGACCTGCTGTGGGTCGGGACCAGCGCTGGGGTGGTGCTGACCCTCGCCGTCTCGGCCAAGGCGGCCCCAGCCTTGGTGGGGCTTTCCCAGGGTCACACCGGCCATGTCCGCTTCCTGACTGCCATTGAGCTGCCTGACGGCTTCGACGTCCTCTTCCCATTGCCGACGGAGACGGGTAGGTGGGATGGGGGGGGGCAATTCTGCCCCACTCTGGGTGGTTTTTATGGGGCTGGGAATGCCATCCTGCTGGCAGATAACTGGGAATAGCCTTGAAATGTGGTTGCCAGAGTCCCAGCTCCATCCTTGCCTTGTTAAAATCCAGGGAGAAAAATTAGGGCAGGGGGGAACTGGTTTGGGGATTGCTTGAGTGACTCCAGATTTCCCTGGGAGACTCCACTTCCCATAAGGACAAGCCACCAGAAAGCCACGTGCTGAGTCTTACCCAGGCCAGCTCTGAGGCCGAGTAGGATGAGGAGCAATGTGGCAATGTGGGGGGAAAGTGGGAATTTGGGTGAGAGGGGCTAATTGGGGATGGGAGGAGTTTTTTGCGGCCAAGATGTGGCACCTGGAAAAGTGCTAGTGACTTTTGGAGGGTGCTGGTGGGAGGATGCTGAGGTAATGCTGGTGGGAGGATGGGATGGTGCTAGGATGGTGCTGGTGGAAGGATGCTGGGAGGATGCTGGGATGATGCTGGTGGGAGGCTGCTGGTGAGATGATGGGATGATGCTGGGATGGTGGGAGGATAATGCTGGGATGGTGCTGGTGGAATGCTGGTAGGCTGATACTGGTGGGATAATGGCTGGTGGAGGATACTGGGAGGTTGCTGGGATGATGTTGGTGGAATGACGATGGTGGGATGATGCTGGTAGGAGGACACTGGGATGGTGGTGGTGGGGTGCTGGTAAGATGGTGCTGGTGGGATAATACTGATGGAGGATACTGGGAGGATGCTAGAGTGATGCTGGGATGACATTGGTGGAGTCATGCTGGGATGATGCTGCTGGGATGATGCTGCTGGGATGATGCTAGAGTGATGCTGGGATGACATTGGCGGAGTCATGCTGGGATGATGCTGCTGGGATGCTGCTGGGGAGCCACAGAGGACCATCTGACAGCACTGTGGGGTTCTGCGCTTGGCAGGGGCCGAGAAGCCGAGCGAAGCAGAGAAGCGAGACCCATCGCGCCCCCGTGCCCCTGCCCTCGCCCTCTCCAAACCCAAGATGCTGGTGATCAGTGGTGGGGACGGCTACGAGGATTTCCGCCTGACCAGCAGCAGTGAGACGGTGGGCCGGGACGACAGCACCAACCACCTCCTCCTCTGGAGAGCATGAACAGCCGCAGCCCCCCTGGGACCACCCCAGCGAGGAACAGGGGGTGCTGGCCCCCAGAAATGCAGAGGGAGGAGATCCCAACCCCTCTCCCTGCCACCCCCAGCCCCAGCGCCTCTCATCTCCAACCTGGCTGCTCTCTGTG